TGTGTGTGTGTGTGTGTGTGTGTGTGTGTGTGTGTGTGTGTGTGTGTGTAAAAATATAGCAATTAAGCATGGCTAAGCTCTCAAAATAATATCACTTTATTAGTTACATCGATTAATTTTATATCTGCTATAAAAATGTAACCAACAATGAAAGAACTGTGCCACTTTAATTGATAGAGAGGGTGACTGGGAGTGTTGAATCTAAATTCATTGTGACCTATGTACTATTTTATCCTTTAGAAATATGTGCTGTTTCCAGAATTTCCAAAAAAGAAATAGGCCGGTGTTTCAAACTCATCTTGAAAGCTTTAGAAACAAGTGTGGATTTGATCACTACTGGAGATTTCATGTCCAGATTTTGTTCCAACTTGGGTCTCCCTAAGCAAGTCCAGATGGCCGCAACACACATTGCGCGTAAAGCTGTGGAATTAGATTTAGTTCCTGGAAGGAGCCCCATCTCAGTTGCAGCTGCTGCTATTTATATGGCTTCACAAGCCTCCGCTGAAAAGAGAACACAGAAAGGTAAGATCTTTATGTATCTAGGAAAGTAAGTTTTATGCATGCCAGAAGTAGGTTTGGGGTGTTTTTTTTTTTTTAAAGAGAAAGAATTGGCACGGATGCCACAAACTCTACTTTGCATAAGGGCTCTTCTGTTTTATTTGAAATACAGGTCCAGTAGTCAGTGCCTGAATTTCTGCTCTTCTTTTGGGCTAATTTAGTAGGCTGTCAAATTATTAAAGAGCAGACTAAACCCTGGTTACTGAAAATGCCACAAAGACAGACTCTGTGTGCTGTATTAAATTAAATTAACCATATTTTTGCTTTCTTTGATGAGTAAACCCAGGTAATGACAGCTTGAGTGTGCCTCAGGATAGAAATCAAACTGTCTTGTGAATTGTAGAAGTAATTCAGACACTTCAGGTTAGTCCAGAATGAATTGGAAATAAATGTAAATGGTATTTATGAACTGTTGCTTTGTAGCAAAGCCTTCTCACTTCCTTTACACCTTATCTGGTTTGTGTTAGTTGAAATCAGCCTTAAAAGTGTCTGAATTTAAATATTGTGATTAAACTCCAAGATGTAAATTATGTAATTCATTTTGGCGTTTGTAAGTATTATTTGTGAATTTGGAGAATTGAAACTCTAGCAAATAAATGCTAATTTGCTTACCTTGGCTTTTTATTTCAGAAATTGGAGACATTGCTGGTGTAGCTGATGTTACAATAAGACAGTCATATAGGCTGATTTATCCACGCGCTCCAGACCTTTTCCCAGCAGATTTCAGATTTGACACCCCAGTGGACAAACTGCCCCAGCTGTGAAACTTCAAAGCCCTGCAAAATAATTTTTGACTTAGAAAAGCACTAAGCATATAATAAAAGCAGTCCTGTCGAGCCTTCAGTTGCAGGACTTGTGAAAGGAGATGGAAAAACTGATCGGATGAAATGGAGCACACATTCCAGATGTAAACAAAATAATTTTGTGGCATTTTTTTTTATGTATATATTAGTGAATGTAAGTATTTAACAACCATTGCAGCAAATTTAAATTTCTATCCTGTGTATTTAGATTTCTTTCATAGAGATCTGGTAAAATGTATTTTGGAAAAATGTTTCAAATCAGAATAAACTGTTTTCCAAAAAACAGTACTGACCTGCAAGTTTACTGTATGTAACTTTGTCCTAAATAAATATCCAAGTGGAAAATGTAACCTTTCAAAGTTGTTCAGTTTTCTGAATTAAATGCTGTACATGGATTTTACATTGTTTCTTGATAACTATTAGTTAATTATAATGGGAAGTTTTAATTCAGAGAAAATATAGTTCATATAATAATAATTGCAGAAAATTTTCTATTCACCTTAGGAAAAGTTTAACCAGTTTATACTTTGATTCATTCTATTTAAAGTCCCATAAAACGAGCGTGTCTCTTAATCACCTTGTGTGACTACTTGGAAAAATGATCTGACCACATTATGTTCATGGTCTCTGTCATAAGAGGCAGATTTTTCTATTGCTGAGTTTTGAATAGAAGTGGGACAATCACCGTTTCTCTCTTCACAAAGCCAGGAACATTTTTTTTGATCAGTGATGATGATAGTCTAGTTAAAAATAAGTGGACAATAAGTAGACTAAGGCATTGAAAATAGTTGAGTATCATTGTTGAACAGGAAGGAAACTGAATCCAAGGTTCCACTCCCTACATGTTTCTCTCCAACTTGATATTCCAGCAGCTCCCTGCTGCCATTACTGTTTTCTTTAGCAGAGCTGAAGGTTACAGAAAACAGTAGAATGTGTGTGAGTTTGTGTGTGAAAAGTGTGTGTGGGGGGGAGGGAGATCCATAGTCCCTCCAGGCCATTGAGATGTATACTTTAATGATTATGCAGCATTTAGGTGAATTAGAAATAGAATTTTTTTTGTGACTAGAAGCTCTTGTCCAAATAGAAAATCAGGTTCATTCCTTTAGTGGGGGATGTCTTTTGCTGCTTCAACAGTTATAACATGAAAGATCTGGCTCATGATAATTTAAAAAAATAACTTTAAGTCTGCTTAGTACAAAACTTTACAATGTATATGAAAAATAAAATAAATCCTGGAGGCTCATATCTTTCTGTAAGTTCTTTGTTCATGAAAGTGGTTTGCGTTCATACAATTTTATGGGTCTAAGATTTGGCATTATTTTGTTAAGGAATGTTACCAAAAGATGGTATTGTCCTGGCAAGCTCTCTCCTATTTTGTGTTAGTGTCTGAATGCCATCAAATGGCTGTGTCAGTCTTTGCTTGCAGTAGTCTGTACGGGCACAGAAATCCAACTTATTACAATAAACCACCTTGAATGTAATTCACGAGGGCAGTACTATCAAAATCTAATAGACAGACTTTTCATATGCAAGTCCAGTAAATGAATTTTATCTAGGGCTTTTTAAAAACCACAATGATTAAAAATTATGTCTTAAGTAGTAATGGGTCCAAACCTTTAGGAAATAGGATTAACTTTAGACAAAAGATAAAGTAACCAAAAAGTTAAAACAACAACCAAGCTGGGCTTAAATCATTTTAGAATCTTGAGATAATTGAAATATTAATTGCCTAACAGCATGAAGATATACTTATTATGCAAAGCATAGATATTTTAATGTGGGGATTATTTGGGCAACCCTTTGCTTAGCAGAGAAATCAAAATTAAACCTCTCTCAACTTCTGCTTGAACATAATTAGTAAAAGAATACTCCACTGTTTGATGTCTCTTATTTTTTCCTAATATCCAATCAGGATCTGCCTTATTTAAATTCACTTCTTTATCTGGTTTTCTGGAATGAATAGACCAAGGGCCTGCAATCTTAAACACTCAAAGAGCCATTTGGATCTGTTTCCCACAGAAAAAACTGGGAACCAATACTTTAACAACAGGTGTGACTGGGTGGGCATGGCCAACTTGACATCACTCACTCCCACCCAGTCACCTCCTGCTCTGGAATATGGAGCAAGTCTCCATCACCCTTACCTTTTCAGACTAGGCGAGGAGTGACAGGGAGGGGAGGGACCAGTCAACAGGGAGCTGCAGCAGAAAGCTGAAAGAGCCGCATGTGGCTCCAGAGCCACAGGTTGCAGACCCCTGCAATAGACCCTGACTGGCTTCTCTGATGTTTTCAGGTATTTGAAGATTGCTATTGTATTTTCAGCCTTATTATCCTAACCCAGGGGTGTCAAACTCCCGTCATCATGTTGTCACATGACATATTGCGACTTTGGCCCCCTTTGCTAAAACGGGTAGGCGTGGTCAGTGCATGGGCCGCAAGTTTGACACCCCTGTTCTTAACCCAACATTTTCAGTTGTCAAAATTTCCTTCATAGGACTCAGGTTTCTAGTCTGTTGATCATCCTGATTTTAGTTGAACATGTTCTAATGTCTCAATCAAAGTGCAGCACCCAGAACTGGACATGTGCAGATTTTTCTTCTACTTCAGAATTTTCTTCTACTTTAGTGTTCCAGGATCTTTTTCTTAAGAATGATTACCAAGACAGGTATTCTCATTTTATGACTGTACATTTGATTTTTGTTTCCTAAGTGACAAACTCTGCATGCATTCAATTTCATTTTTGTTTTCAGTCCATTCATCTAGGTTATTTTGATCTTTAACTATACCATAAAACTGTGTATCATACAACTTTGAGGTTTCCATTCCGCTCATATACTGGCATTAATGAGAAAATAAAGTGAGAAGGCTTCAACATTAACTTTTGTGCTACTCATTTGATACATCTCTCTAGTAAACCATTCTGAATATGTCAAGCCAGCTTTGTACCTATATCATTGTCATATCTAATTAAAAATTAGCTTTGTGATCAGAATCTAATGGGATATTTTGTCCAGAAATAAGGTATATTATGAATATAGATTTCTCATCAATTAAACTACAGTGGAACTTTGGGGTCACGACCGTAATCTGTTCCAGGACTTTGGTTGCAACCCGATTTGGTCATGACCAGAAGCAAGACCAACTGTGCATATGCCTACTGTGCATGTGCGGAAGGGAAAATCTACCCGGCTGTATTTGCTTGGCACCCGAGGATCTGTTTGCAACCAGAAGCAACAATTTTCCCAAATTTTTGGTCATCACTCGATTTGGTCGCGAACAGAAACATTCATGACTTGAGATGCCACGGTACTTAATTTAAAAAGTTACAAGGTTTGCTTGGCAATTTGTGTTCTTAACAAATCCACGCTGATCTCTGTTAACTAGTAAATTAAGGGCTTCTCTCAATGAATGTTTTGGAAGGGCTCTAAGTGTATTTTACGCAATCATTTTCAATTGTTTCTCTCTTGGGTACAATGAGACAATGCATCAGGAAAGAATCATTTCATTTTGTACATGAGAAAGCAGCTTTAAAAACTCCTTGTGAAAAAATAACAGATAGAGATAAAAGCTGAGATTTTAGGGCCAATTTTCAGCAACACTTTGTAACAACCCAAGTCCTCCCAAGCTTTCAATGCAGGCCTTAGGACCCCCTTCCCATCCCATGAATTGTAATGTAAACGTGCTAAATATAAATGCAGTTTGGGCTAACTGGATTATGTGACTCTTAGCGGTGTGGTGACTTAGGCTATTGTAATTAGTATAAAACGGAGCTTAGTGTGAAGTTTAATTTCAGCCTGTGTGGGAGGGATACACATTCTGGTTGAAACCATATGCTGAAAATTATTAGTTTAGCTTCCAATTTACCCACTGAATACTGCACAGAAGTTTCAAACAAAGAATCAGTTTCCCAAGTGAACCATTAAGGAATTTCCTAAGCAGCTCTATAAACTGTTTTGATTAGAAGACTGCACCTAAGGGAGGTTTCTTAATTGTTTAAAAAACAAAGCAGATATTTATCCACCCTGAAAGAAAAAGTAATTCACACAAAGTTCCAAAGACATCATTTATCTAATGATCAAACACAAGATTATAATCAAATCAGTATTTTTTTTCCTATACAAATTTCACGATTTAAATTTTGAGTGTTAATTGCAGAGAGTTTATAGTATTACTGTTAAAGGCACATTTCATTTAAATGCATAGTGTACCATTCTAAAATATCCTAATTTTTTTTACAAAGTGCTTCAGCAGCCACATATGTATAGCAAAATATATTTACAATCTAGAGTTTAAAACTTAATTTGCCTATTTTTCAAAAGTAGATAAAATTAGTGCTTTCATTCAGCTTAATTGAAAATACCCTGCCTCTAATGTGATTTTCATAAATTCAAGATTACAAACATTTCTGTACAATTTATACTTACAAAAAGTTTCTTCCATAGGATTTTAAATTTGAAGCACCTACCAGGGACCTAGCTGTTTATAGAAATAATAAGGAAGAAAAGGGGTTGGCAGATTGTACCTCAATATTTAGTGTTTTGCTTAATTAAGATGTAGCCATTTGAAATAAAAAAAAACACTAAATTAGTATACTGAAAAATGATAGTGCATTTTTTTTAAAAAAACTGCAACTTAGTAATATTCATGATTTTTATAAAAAAGTATCTATCTTCCTTATGAAGGAATTTACACGTTATTCTGGCAACCTTCTTATTCCTTATATTCTTGTAAGTTTATAAAATATGATTAGAGTCCCCAGGTATCATAGTGAAACAAAATATTTTATGAATGGGGTGATGGATTATGAAAAAAATACCCCCCCAAGCACCCCCAAACAAACCCCATATTGGTATTACTCTACTTTCTTGCAAAATCTGCCCTGTATATGATTTATTGATGCTGAACCACATTCCAGATTGAATAGAAGGCTACTAATTAAAAACTTTATGCTTATTCTTGATCTTCTGGTGTTAGGAAATGAAGTTGATCACAAACACATATGCTGACAAAGTGGAATGTTGCTTTCCACTGATTTAAACATGATTTTGTTCTTTCAGAATGTAACAAAAACTACTTTAAAGTCTGTAAAGCAAACACACAGCATCTAGTCAAAGATTTTAACTTTTGAGGTACAGCTTAGTGTTAAGAGACTTAAAATATACAAGTTTTATCAAAAATATTTATACATTCTCTTAAAACATATTGCTTTTACCCTTATTCTCAGTAATTTCCAATGACGATTATTGAATTCAGTGGCCATAAAAATGTATAC